ATGGCTAGTAGGTTGGAGGCCGTCGCTATTGGGTTGGAGGCCATTGCTTCTATAGTAGCTTGAAGGCCATTGCTTCTAGGTTGGAGGTCATCCCTAGTAGGTTGGAGGCCATCGCTATTGTTTGTTGTTTGTCACCATCACTTAGACGGCATACAGAATTCGTCGGAGGTCCCAACAAACTATTCGTCCTAGTGGAGCCATGTCTAGCAGCCTAGCCACATTCAAGTAAGTTTCTTCTCATGCCAAGAAAAGACACTGATCCTTCTCGTGACAAGATGCGTCGGATGGTACTGGGCATGAACAGCATGGTACTCTTCAATTCCTTCTGCGCGGTCGAGCTTGTCCTTTTCGCCTGCAAAGACACACAAATATGATTATGCAAGAAATCTGGATCGAATCGACTGAAATGAAGGGGCATTGATATGAATGATATGACTTTCGTATGACCATTAACAAGCCAAATGTTGATGGCAGACTCTAATTAACGAATTTTACGTTTGTGACATCAGACTGGGCTAGGGCTCAGCGTGTTGTCCTCTCAATTTCTTGGGGTCGCAAGGAGTACCAGGAACAAAGTCTGCCTGGAAACCAAGTACAGTTCCAATATGTTCCAATCCACTTGCATAAATTCTGGAATTCTAAGGGGTGAGCATCTGGTGAACTGAAATGAAAAAACCCTCCTAGCTTCTCCGGACTCTTTTCGATCTCTGACCCTGGTGGCATCATGGTGTCCTTTCAATTAGCAACAAACAGTTGAAATGACCAGCATAAACAGCGCAACTGATTCATTCGCTGAATGTCCACCATTCCTGAGGAAGTCTGTGGGGATGTGCAATGCTCCTGACTAGGTTGGAGGCCATTCCTATTAGGTTGGAGGCCATCGCTATTGGGTTGGAGGTCATTGCTATTAGGTTGGAGGCCATCGCTTCTAGGTTGGAGGCCATCGGTATCAGGTTGGAGGCCAGGCAATTGGGTTGGAGGCCATTGCTATTAGGTTGGAGGCCATTGTTGGGTTGGGGGCCATTGCTAAAAGGTTGGATGAAGGTTGGATGCCATTGGTATTAGGTTGGAGGCCATGCAATTGGGTTGGAGGCCATTGCTATTGGGTTGGAGGCATTACTATTAGGTTGGAGACCAGCGCTATTAGGTTGGAGGTCATTGCTATTAGGTTGGAGGCCATCGCTATTGGGTTGAAGGCCATTGCTATTAGGTTGGAGGACATCGCTATTG